TACGGCTTTTACTGTGACAAGTTATATCTGCTTTAGCCGCAGTACCTTCAATTTGCAAAGTATGTTTAAATGTACCATCTAATTCTTGAATATTCACTAGTAATGGTCCTACGTATTTTCTAATCCCCCTTTGATGGATCGTATCTTGTCGAATTTCTAATTCAACTGTATTTCTATATATTGTGTGATCGTATTTGTATTATTATATATTTATCAACACATATATATTTTATTTAGCAAAACAAAAGCATAGGAACTCTTAAAATTTTTTTTTCATAGATACCTTTTTCTATTAAACACAAAACTTAAACTAAACTTTGCATGACCACCTGTTCTGACCCATAGATCTATAAAAACAGCCATATCTTTTCCAGTCACTGTAAAAATGGCTTTTGTAAATACATTTGTACTAATTAACATGTGAGACCACAGACCAGAATCAATTTTTTGTTGTGCAGCATTTGCAGCAAGTGATAGTTGTTTATTGAAAACCTATGAAATAAAAAATTTACAATTAGTACTTTTAAATAATGTATTTTTTCTATTTTTTATGTAACATACACACACACACACACGAAATACTAGTATATGTGCGTACATAAGTATAATAGTTTAATATATATATATATATATATAATAATAATAATGATCAATGATAAATACTTGAAGAAGTAATTCCTGGCCTATCCTATGCTCTAACATTCTTATAACTAAATGAGCTTTTTTTCGAAGTACTTCAATGTACTTCGGTGACATAGTATGCAAATTCCTTATAGGAAAATAAAAACCAGGGTCAGGTGCTCTAGGAGCTGGTGCTGGAGTATTTGCTGCAATGGGCAATGGAGCAGGCGGTTGAGATGGATCCAATATTATACCTCCAAATTGTTCTTCATATTTTACAACCTCTTGAAGTTCCTGAAAACAAGGATTATAATGTCTTTAAGATTATAACATACATTTAAACTTATTTTAATCATTATGATATAAATTAGAAGTGAACAATTGATGACTCACTGATTGGATCCATTCTCGGTATTCGTTATTACCAAAACATTTTTTTGCATATAATCCTGTTAAATATGTCGATATACCTTTTGGTAACCAAGTATCCGACCAATTTTGCATAGATATGAAACAGCCAAAAAATTGTTCTGCAATTGCTTGTGCCATTGCTTTCTTTGTGATGTAAACTTGATCAATAATTGCAGTAGAATGCAATAAATTTGTACTATAAAAATGATATTATGTTATAATATAAGTTACAAGAAAGGGAAATCAATGTTTTCATAATTGTATTTTAACAAATTTAAAAGATTTCATTGTACTTTAAAATGCTCATAGTTGCATATGCATTGATATCTTCATCTATCTCATCAACAAACACTTGTTTATAACAGGTATATGGATATCTATTGGATAATGTTTCTTCATAAAATTCAAATGCTTCATGCATATATTTTGCAGATACTTTTAAGGATGGTAACAGATGTGGTAAACAGAAGTGTGTTACTTCATGCATATAAGGATCCACAAATATTTCAAAAGGTCTGAAAAATAGCAAAAAAATGTTCATATTATGAAATGACTATCAATTGAAAACATTTTTTATATAGTTTCGTTAAAACAATAAGATTACTTACCCAACAGCAAGAGCAATATTTGGAGCACAAGCTGGAGTATTAAGAATGTAATGAAAGGTTTTCCTGCGCATGTCAGGAGTATAAACAACTTCTACTAGATCTCCACAAGATATTGCAGTCATAGAATCGTCGACAGTAAACTCTAATTTCCAAGTACAAGGTTCTGCAAAACTATCGACACAGGGGAACCATAATCTTGATGAATTTTCATAGCTATATGTATACATATGAGCACCTCTCTGCAAAAAATACAGATAATGATGTATTATCATATTAATAAAATATTTCATTTACTTATATACGTGTACCTCTGCTAGAGTGCCTTCACAATTTGGTACTACAAAATGTACTCCACCTTGCGGTTGTTCTAATGAAAACTCAATACTGATCCTTAAAGGACGACCCTCTCCAACCAAATGTGCTGCATCTGGTGGAATTTGTACAACTAATTCACCTACATTGTTATCAGGATCAACTTTTTGTGCTGCTGCTAAATGAAGATTCGAAAAGAACTCCAATGAACGCCTACATAAATATTAATAACTGCATAAATAATATATAAAAGAGAAAAAATGAATGGCATTGAAATTACTCACTGTTTACCATCTCCTTGACATATATCTAAAAATGGATCAAAATATTGAAATGGTGCTTCATATGTATCATTTAAACATACTCTATATATTCTACATTGTTTTGCATTAAGTTTTACAAGTCTCAAGGTATCTCTCAAAGGAACTACCGTCAATTCCACAAAACCCTGTTAATAAGATAAAATATTATATGTTTTAATATAATTATTTAATAAATGTGAATACTTACAATTATACTTTTCCTTGGAAAACTTATGCCTGTTAAGCTCACTATTTGATGGGCTGTAAAATAATAATTATTTGGTTATAAAATCATTACGAATAAAAACAACACATGTGTAAATACAAAATTATGCATTCATGTTTAATTCAAATTAAAAATATTAAAATAAGGTATTATATTATATATCCTTATCATAAGAATCTAGAAATTTGTAATAATGCATTTGTAATAACTTTTTAGAGAATTATATAAATTGTATAAGTTGTAAAACAAAACTATCGAAAACATAACCTAAACAATTTTGAATTAAAAATAATATAATTAAAATATATTATTATATTATATAAAATATACTTTTATATTATATAAAAAGAAAAATACTTATAATTTATATGGTCTACTATTATCAGCCGTTCTTTCTTTCTTCATTGTTCTTTCATAGAAAATCACTTTTCTTTAATGACAAACGTCCGACGCCATTACCGACCAAGCTCGACTAAAGAAAAGATAGAGAAACATAGTTTATACTCTGTAGCTCCGTTGCCGACTCGAGAGAACAAAATCTGGATATACAGAGAGAAAGGAACTAGAGAGTTTAAAGTGTTATAAATAAAGAAAACAAGAGTGAATATATATTAAATCAGTCTATCACCAATAGTTTCATTAGAGTTCGATGAACAAATGAAAATGTTTTAAAAATGAAGATTTAAATGAGAACACATCTCCTTTGAATTTTTAAAAATAGAAAAACAAAAGAATTTTTAAAAAGAGTACAATAAATTAATATTTCAACAGCACTCGCTTAAACATATGCTTACATACATTCACTTAAACGACACCCAATACTAAAAACATGTTAAATATGGAATAATTTTCTTTTAGACTTCGTCGACTATTTATGTCAACAAGAAGGAACATAAGATAGACTTTGCGATTTATCACGTTAGTTTCCTTTCGTACTCCGAGGGATAAACATCGAAATACGCACTCTCTCTCTCTCTCTCTCTCTCTCTGTCTACGGCTACGTTTAATTTAAACTTATAGATACGATGATTTTCTAATTGTTTAAATAATGTATAATGTACAATGTACTCGAAGTACGGCGAAATAATAATTAAATGATATTAAATTCCGTAAAATGTCGCCTAGCTCTTAAGACGTATTAGACATAGAATAATTTTCTTTCGATATTTATCGATTGTTTAATAAATCAACAATGACGAAGATCATATTGAGCGTGCCAATTACCACGTTAGTTTTCTTTCGTACTTCGAGAAATAAATATCGAGATATTCTCCGAGCGGCTACATTTGACAGTTTCGTGATTTTATAATTATTTAAACATTGTATAATGTACACGAAATGCGATAATGCAATATTTAAACAACAACACATTCTGTTAAAAATCTGCATAGTTCTTAAGAAGCATTGGACTTAGAATAATTTTCTTTCAACGTACATCGATCGTTTAATATTAACAAGAAGTACCGTTAAAAGGACAATGCGATTTAGCATTCTCGTACTCCGAGAATTGAATGTCGAAATGCACTCTTTCCGTACCGCTACATTCAATCATTTTATAGATACGATCATTTTTAAATTATTTAAATAATATACAATGTACATGAAATGCGACAATGCAATATTTAAACAATAGTACATTCCATTAAAAATCGAAAAGCTCTTAAGACGCATCCTTAATGTACACAGAGTAAAATAAACTAATATTTAATGGTATATTTGAGAAACTAAAAATAATTTTAATACAACTATCGGTATAGTTTTGTTATGTATGTAGAACTTTATCTATCACATAAGTAATATACATATATAAATATTCTTTTTTCTTTTTTTATTACTTTTCAGCTAGTTCCAGGTCATGGGATTGCGAAATCAGAAAGGAATAATTAATAAATAAAATTATTTTACTAACATTTAAACAATGTACAATATAATATTTAACAAAATAATATTTACTAATGGATGGTTAAATACGCTTTTGCATTTGTATAAATTTAACTAGAACAAAAAATATAAAATTTGTACAATTAATAAATACTTTTCAATTAATATATTTTCAGAATAGAGTATAATCCAGCATATAGTTTTTCGTTGCATTTGAAGAATGTATTACTGTTTTACTGTATATAAACATTTATCTCGGACATTAATGCGATCGTTGGTTTATTCTCGAAAGGCGTATAACCTACACAACTTATACGTCGATACAACAGGTCCTTAATGGTGACAATGTCCCCCATTAAGCTTGCAGTTCATATTTTGTCCACTTGTCGCTGAAGTCTCATATTCTACGAGCGAAAGCTGGTGAATAGCCTAAGAGGCTTTTCTGATTTTTAGTAACTTTATTTATAGTAAGTATCTATAATATTGTATATATAGTTGTATGATATATACTACATAGTCTATGGACTTCCTTTCAGCCAATCATGCGAATGGATTTTAAATTCAAATAATCGGTTAATTATATTAAAGATTTATGCAAATATTAGAAAGATCAATTTAAATCGAATCAATTTATAATGAATTAGAATAGATGAAATTGAAATAATTTATATTAAAGGCGTAAATATGAAATAAAATAATAAATACCAATCAACTCTTATAAGTTAAACTTTCATTTTGAAACTGTACCAACTATATACAAGAATGTACTCAATGAAATCGTGATGGACAAGTTGGTTCATTTATACTGGCTGTAGTAATATAAATATAAATAAATATCGAATATATAATGAAGGAATGAATTCATCTTTAATTATTCAATGGTTTCTCAGTTGAATTGATAACTGGACAAATGGATGAAGAATTTGTTGAAACAGCGTGAGTAGCATAAATGTATCATTTAGCATGTCATGTCGTTTACATGTATGTATATGATTTTTATATAAATTTATTTTATAAAATAAAATAAATAATAAGAAAATAATATAAATATTATGTACTTTAAGAAATATATATGTTATATGTGAATTATTAAGAAAGAAAATGGCTCTAATTCTTCAATAACTTTAAACATACAAGTGAAACTTACATTCAATATTCATATATCAGAATTTTGTAATATTCTGATAACTATATTATTTTTTAGTAAACTCAACCGTACTATAGATGATGTTAATATGCCAGCAGTGACTGCTAGCTTAGAAATGTTAACAGTAAATACTAATTTACATTCAATGTCAGAAAATAAAAGGAATCTTAGAAAAAGAGTGCCAAAAACAGTTTCCGCAGAACTTTTAAATAGGAGGTATTTACATGTATATGTATATATATATGCACTTATATGTATTTTGTCTTAAAGTTTTCTTTTTATTTATACGACGATTAGATGCAGTCTTAGACCAAAAAAAAGAAATTGTAAAGAAATGGAAAGCGATGAAGATGTTAAAGATTATTATTTAGATAAAAGTTTTAAGAAGAAAGTAAATAATTTGGAAACAATTTTTGAAGAAACAACAAATGGAAATGAAAATTCTTTATATATGAGTGTAAAAAGGTACAAAAGGATGATCCAGTTTCAACAGCAACCCAATAATTCTAAATTGCAAAAGAGAAGAACTAAAATTAAAAAAGTGTTTGGATCAAAGATTAATTTTAGACATAGATCAATGCAAGAATTACTTAATAAGTTAAATTACATCAAATCTAATTCACCAGTGAATTCTGAAAGTGAAACAAAGTGATTGTTATTCTGTAAGTGTTTAGTAGTGCTATATTTGTTTATACTATTTTTATAAACATTAATGACATGTGAATTTATATATCTTAAAAAATATAATATTAAGAAGTATTTTATGTGGAATCAATACAATTTTTAAAATTATACATATCTAATATTTGGTATCTATATTCTAATATTAGTCAAAACACTTGAAATATATGTTTCATATATATTATAGTGTTTGTAATCTCAAAATTACTAAACACTCGATAGTAATGACTGACATGTTGTTCTATAATTCTATATAAGACTTTATATTGGTATCATATGAACATATATTAAGTCGATATAATGACGACAACTCACATTAATTAATTGTTTGTACACTTATAAGCTATTAGTATATTGGATAATATCAAACGATAAAAAGAACTTTTTGCTACCATAATAATATTTTGCGAAATATTATAGTTTCTATATTATTTTCGTATGAGTCATTTCATAGTATATATAAGAATGTTCAAAGTTTTTTTTAGAATTTTTTTAATAGATGAAAAATAAGAAGAACTTCATATAATCAGCTTTATTTACAAAAATGAATTTCTTACAAAATATAAAAGTACATTATTCTTTAAGGTCTTTTTTTTGTTTTCTGTTTACTCATTTCATTTATACCAGTAAAAATAGATTTAGTATAAAATACTGTTGTGTAATAAGCAGATTTCAAAAATATTTCTGAGATAGAAATTACTTTATATTACACTTTATCGAACTCCTTGCACAACCATTGTATTCTTTAAAATTACCTTTATTTTCTTTATATTCTTTACTATCAAGATTAATACAAGCACATCTGTGTTGTTTTGAATTAGGCATTTCAAAATACATTCTTGGAACACCGATCCAATCTCTTTCTATACCACCACTATAAATTAAACAAATAAATTATTTGTTAACGTGTATATATATATATATCATTTTTGTCATATTATTACCTTCTTTTAGAACACCATACAGTAGTGCCTATATCGACTTTCCATTCCATATTGCAAGTCGGAAATAACTTTTTCTTTTGTTCTTCATCTGCTATTTCTTTTTTTGCATCTATTAATTTTTGCTGTACTTTTAAAGACTCAAGCGTTGGAGTACCATCTTCATTGAAGTACCTTCCACTTAATTTTCCTTTAAAAAATGTATCTTTTGTTTATATTAATGTTTAATATATAATTTTTATAATATTGTATACCTTTATAAATGTAATTTTCATTATAAAATTGTACCCAGTCATCTAATGATTTAATTTGTTGAGCAGACAGTACAGAAGTATCATCGGTTACTTCTTTCTCATCAAACTTTCCAGTGACAAATGCTAGAGATGCATCACGCCCTAATAATGAACATAAAATTACTTCGTTAAAAATTTTTTAATCTTACATACTTGTAACCTATAATAAATTTTCTGTACCAACAAATATATGATAAGATGCTCCAGGTTCATAATGCTTTGCTCCTTTCGTAACATCAAAAACTTGGCCCAATATTGAAAGATATAATCCATTTTCAATATTATTATGTTTTTTTAATTCGTCTCTAGTAAATATTTTCTGTTTTTCATTTATTTCTAATAATTCCAATTCTGATGTACTGAATAATATATGAGTTACATTGTTCAATTCTTTGGGTAGAAAGTACCATATTATTGTAAAATAGCTCTGTGAATAAAGTAAATAAATAGTTGCAAGTAAAAGACTTAACCAGAAATATCTTAAAATCATTATTTTTGCCTTTCGCTTAACCAGTTAGGTTAGTTAATTGCATACAGTATTTTTCATGATTAATATATCACAATCAATAACCCTTAACATTATTTTAAAGTAGCAAAACTAATTTTTCTACCCTAAGAACCATTGAAACTGATCAGAATTGGTATAAGTTAATTACAATATAGTTTATAATTTTGTATTATATATAGAATTATTTATTTCCTATGAAAAAATTTACGAGACACTAAAAACTGTAATATTGAAAAATAAATTAAGATTTTATATTAGTTTCTATTTTATTCGAATAGACATGTTTTAAAGGCATGTTTCTAAAAAAATCTGATTGATTTTCATTGTTCTAATAATTACTTTCGAATAAGTCTGAGAATTTTATTTTTTAAGTAAATGGTAAAATTTAAACGTAACACGTAGCAAGTTATTTCCGATTTAAACATAACACTATGTAAAACCATGTAATAATTTAGCATCTCATATATAAATGCATGTAAATACACCCAAATATTACACGCACAATATCTATAAATTAAAATAGCATTATAATGGCGGGTTCTACATCAGTCAATACAAAATGCAGGATGATTTAAAAGTGAAAAACATTTCTGAAAATATTTCTTGTGTTGTATAAAAAATAAATTTTTTTTATTTTTATTAAAATGCTAAAGTGGTTTGTGTTGTTAAAAATGATAATAACAATAGTTTATAAACCTATCAATATATTACTTTGGGATTGAAAATAATCATGAGATATACCATTCATTGTGTTAGTTTTATTTACTCCTTTAAGAATATAAAGATAAGTGCGATTAAATTAAGAAAGAATACAATTTCTATTGGCAGAAATAAAAGTACTAATTATATTATGAGAGTTCTTAATGTCGCTGAAAAAAATGATGCTGCGAAAAACATTGCTGCTTATTTGTCACGCGGCAATTGTAGAAAAGTAAATATTATTATTTGTATTTTAAAATGAAAGAAAGCTTTACAGAGTCATGGATTTAATGTCTAGTTAAATTAAAAATTTTATTTGTTTCTCAGAGGGATGGTTTATCGGTCTATAATAAAATTTATGAATTCAATGTACACTTGTGGAATGAAGATTGTCAAATGATTATGACATCTGTTTCTGGACATTTGTTGAACTATGAATTTGTAGGTGCTTATAAAAAATGGCAAGCATGTCATCCTTTAAGTTTATTTGATGCTCCTGTTATGAAAAATTGTATAGATGACAAATATTCACAAATAAAAAGAACTATAGAAAAAGAAGTAAAGAACTCCAGAGCTTTGATCATTTGGACTGATTGTGATCGAGAAGGAGAAAACATAGGATTTGAAATCATAGAAGTATGCCAGGCAGTTAAACCAGATATACGCATATATAGGTAGTATATGTTAGATAATAATCAATTATTTATGTTATTTTTTAATTATAACATGAAATATATATTTTATTGTAGAGCAAAATTCTCAGAAATCACACAAACATCCATAAACAGAGCTCTTCAAACTTTAGATACACCAAATAAAGCTGTCAGTGATGCTGTAGACATAAGAAGTGAATTAGATTTAAGAATAGGTATGTTGCAATATTAATTGCACTTGCAAAGCAAGCATAATTGTAGTATTTCACCATGGCCCTTAATATAATATACTTACGGGAAAAGTAAGATTATGCGGACACAATTAGTTTACTTTATTAAATATACATAAAAGCACGATTTTTAATTTGTATACATTCTGCTCGTGGCCTATTCGATACATGATTAATTTTCTTTTCGCTCGCACGCCTTAGCATCACTTTCTCGATGCTCGTTTGTTATTGCATATATACATTATTACAATAATATTATTTATTGGGTAAAATATTATTCTTAAATAATTGTGGTTTAGGTGCTGCGTTTACAAGATTTCAAACATTAAGACTACAAAAAGTATTTCCTAGAACACTTGCAGACATGCTTATAAGTTATGGTAGTTGTCAGTTTCCAACATTAGGATTTGTGGTGGAAAGATTTCTGGCTATAGAAAGATTTCAACCAGAACCATATTGGAAAATAAAAGTAATGAATATTCTTAATGACATTTCTGTTGAATTTCGTTGGGACAGAATAAGACTTTTTGAAGAATTACCTTGTCAAATATTTCTTGATATATGTCAAGAAAATCCTATTGCTACTGTAATTAAAGTTACCAGTAAACCCAAAAGCAAATGGAGACCTTTACCATTAGATACAGTTGTAAGTAACAAAATCAATAATGTTACAATAGTTTATATTTGTTATCAAACTTATTATATTACCTTTATATTTATCTTTATATTTCTTTATATTATTAGGAATTAGAAAAACAGGGTTCTCGGAAATTGAATTTAAATGCAAAAGAAATTATGAAGATAGCAGAGAAATTATACACGCAAGGTTTAATTAGCTATCCGCGTACAGAAACAAATATTTTTCCGAAAGAACTGAATTTACAATCTTTAGTTACTCAACATAGAGATAGTCCGGTATGGGGTCAGTTTGCACAACGGTTATTGGAAGATGGAGTATCTCCTAGACAAGGCAAAAAGAGCGATCAAGCTCATCCTCCTATTCATCCAACGAAGTATAGTTCTATTTTAAGAGGTATGAATCATATCTAGAATTATATAAAGATAAGAATTTTTTACTTCATACTTTTTACTTCATACTTTATAATAGGAAATGAAGCAAAAGTCTATGAATTTATTGTAAGACACTTTCTGGCTTGTGTATCAAAAAATGCAGAAGGTCAAGAGACTATAGTAGAAATTAATATAGCTGGAGAAAAATTTCTTGCAAATGGTCTTCAGATCATAGCAAAAAATTATTTAGATGTGTACATATACGAAAAATGGAATGATAAAGAAATACATAGGTATCAAGAGGGGCAAACATTTCAACCGACTAGCATTGAAATGATAAAAGAAGAAACTTCACCTCCTAAATTATTAACTGAAGCAGATTTAATCGCTTTAATGGATAAACATGGGATTGGAACTGATGCAACTCATGCAGAACACATAGATACAATAAAGTCAAGACAATATGTGGGCTTGCAAGATGGTAAACATTTTATGCCTTCAAAATTAGGAATTGGACTTGTAATGGGTTATGATAATATGGGATTTGCAATGTCTAAGCCAAATTTAAGAGCAGATTTAGAAAAAGATCTTAAATTGTATGTTATTAAAATTTCATTTTTTTTATTTATACATTCTATTTTAACATATATGTATATGTCACAAACACTCTTTTTATCTGTAGAATTTGTGATGGTCAAAAAGATCCGAAACTAGTCCTACAAAACCAGATAGCAAAATATCGTGATGTATTCAAATTAGCAATACAACATGCTAATTTGATTGATAATGCTATAGCAGAATATCTTGAAGAACAACCAGCACAAGTACAAGAAACTGATATAATTAATACTTCTACAAACACAGTTGTTTTCAAATGTCCTAAATGTGGTTCTGATATGATATTAAAAGATAGGAAACAAGGTACAGGAAAATGTATAACTTGCATGGGATTCCCATCATGCAATAATGCTATATGGTTTCCTCAATCGATCGAAAATGTTACAGTATTGGAAAGTACATGTACTCAGGTCTGCCTACTTGTCCATTTGTTATTGTTCAATAATTCCAGAGAATTATGATTTGTAACTATAAACTTTTTGTTCCTTCAGTGTACTGGAAACATGCGTAAACTGGAATTTAAATTAGCACGGAATATGTTTCATCTTTTTGGAAGTACATATACAACTTGTATAGGTGGTTGTGATTCTAATTTTAATGAAACAATAAATATCAAAGATGATACTATTAAAAAAATATCACGTATCACTGATAGTGGCTATGAAACCACGAACAGCAGTTCAGAAATATTGATCAGGACTCAAATGTCCAATAATATGGGAGAATCTATATCAAATTCGAGAACGATAACTCAAAGAAGTGAAAACCGTTCAAGAAATTCTAATAATCGAAGAAAAGACAATATTGCATCTACTAAAATGAAAAACAATACTGATAATTTCAATCAGACAATAGGATTTGGTAGTAATCATACAAACACTAATGATATTGTATCCTGGGGGAACATAGATAATGATGCTGAGATAATGTGTCAATGTCACCAGCATGCAATTCAGTTAACAGTAAGAAAGGATGGTCCAAACCAAGGTAAATTATATCTAGATAATGAATTAAAATACTATGAAGTAGTACAACAAAATTAAACATTTTTAATATTTGTAGGAAGACAATTTTATAAATGTGCACAACCTCAGGGTAGTGGCTGTAATTTCTTTCTGTGGGCTTCTGATAGACCACAAGAAGAAAATACAACAAATCGTAATCAAATTTCAAATCAATCTTGGATGACACAAAATCGAACACAACAACCTAGTACTAGTAGTAACTCTACTGATTGGATAAATACTAGTGTTTCAGGAACAAATAATGTTATTATGTGTATTTGTAATGAACCAGCTAAACAGTAAGTAAAAAACTGTTAATAAAAGATATTTTATTATAAAGTTTTACTTCTATTTTCATACATTTTATAGGCTTACAGTTCAAAAAGAAGGACCAAATAAAGGTAGACCCTTTTATACTTGTCCTAAAGGTAGGGACAGTACATGTAACTTTTTTAAATGGGCCGATGTAGATATAAATGTTAATATGAATGAAAGAACAGATTCAGGAAATTTTGGGAACAGAAATAATCATTTTAAACACAAAGGAAATAGCTCTACTTCAAGTAGATCTCAAGGAACTCGTGCCAAAAGAAAATGTGGCATTTGTGGAACTGAAGGTTTGTACTTTATAAAACAAATTATTTTCTATATAATTACAATACTATAGAAGTTGAAGTTTACATTAATATGTTTTATTATATTTTTAATAGGTCATACACGCAAAACATGTCCAGAAAATGTCATGGATTAATCATAACATTACAGTATTGTAAATTATATACATTTCGTACAACTATAATCAAAGTTTATTAAAAGTAAAGGATATTATAGTGATAAACATAATACGATCATTTGTGCCTTATTTTAAAGAATGTAAAATTTATTATTGAGATTAGAGATTAGTTAATCTCTTTGTTTAGATATAAGCTTTATTTGTATAATATTACTAGAGTGCACAAAAACA